GTCTGTTTGTTCTGGATTTAATGAAATCAGCTCGAACGTGCAAAACCAGCATGGCCCAACCCCAGTTTTTGCTCTAATCACTTGCAGAGCGTTATTGGCTTATTGTAGTTGTATTTGGTGTAAAGTCTCGTTTTTTGACCAGTGTTTGGAGATGTATGATTGTGTGGGCAGTTCCTCAGGCTGCTGGAGGGGAAATTGAGACTGTTGCACTGGGACTTTTGAGGTGGGGATGGCTTTTAATTTAAAGCTAACGTTACTCTTTGAATTACTGTTATTGTTCGGCGGGTCTCGCATTAAACCAACGCGGCCAGCGGAGAGCTAAAGATGAATTTGAATGCTAATCATTTCTGCAGCTCGCCCTGAAAAGGTTGTGCCTGTCTGTTTGTTTTCTCACCTTGTCGTCTGTCTTATCTTTTTCCCTTGCAGTTATGTGGCTGCGGGCTGCTCGGTGTGGGCATCTGGCTCTCGGTGTCTCAGGGCAGCTTCGCCACCTTCTCACCCTCATTCCCTTCACTGTCAGCTGCCAATATGGTCATTGCCATCGGCGCCATCGTCATGGTAACAGGCTTTCTCGGTTGCCTGGGTGCCATCAAGGAGAACAAGTGCCTGCTTCTGAGCGTGAGTTAAATCCGGATACCTACAAAATATTTTTTTTTAAAAAGTCGCACATGGATAACTGTCGACAGCACAAATGTGCACGTTGTAGTTCTTAATTTCTCTCACTCGTGCATTTTATGACTCATTTGTAGAGTTGACCGCTTGCTATCAGTTGTATTCAAAAGTTTTGGCACTCCTGGGGAAGCTGCATGTTTTATTGATAAATACAACCCTTGCAGCAATGAAATATTAAGATGAGCTTTTCATGAATGTATAAAATTGATAGCAAACAGTCATCGTGGCAGCGGGCCAAAGTTTGTGCAAACTACAAAGATAGTAGCAGCCCTAATTTCATAGCTTGGAAATGTTTTTAATGGGCCACTAAGAGTCAGTTATTTGTCAGAGATGAGAAACGAAGAAAAGCAATGCCATAACATTTTGAGAACTGCTCGTATTTTGTGTCTTTTCGCTGCAAGGCTTGTCTGCACTGTCACATGCAAACTGCAAGCAAGTGTCTATACTCAAAGGCACACCGGTCACAAGCCACCAGGAGCTTTTTTTGTATTTGTCCTATTACCAGACCCTCGGGAGAGCTAGGTGACTGGGGCTACTTCAGTAATTCAGTCTGCCCTCTATCGAACCTCAAGAGTGCACAAAATTAGAGCTGAGCAATAGGATTCCCCCTTTCTGCAAATTAATACCAACTAATGCATGTCATTGCCATGGCTCATGTCAGAGCCCAGTGAAAGGAATTTCAGGCGGGGGAATTAGTATTTGCATAGAGCGCACCAAAAGGCACTTGATGTTTTTGAAGCTCCAGAATTGAGAATGTTCTATTATTCATTACAAAGACTGTTCTGTCTTGACGTTGCACTGTTTGCCCAAAGTTGTACAAGTGTGTTATCTTAAGCACAAGTTAATTATGAGAGTTCACCCAACAGAATGAGGTTTGCAGGGATCCGCTGCAGAAAGGCGAGGAAAAAAAAAAACTTTCATGTATAGAAACTTTAAATGAGAAGTGGAGTTGGGGCTCTGAGTACTTAACATCACAAACAGCTCAATCCCTTGAAGCTCTTGCATCAGTCAAAAGCCCCACCAAATCCTCAGCGTTAGACATGGCTTCCTTCACCTGCCTAACAACTGTGAAGCAGGAGGAGAGAGCAGAGTGCAAAGACAGAGCGGAGGGGTGTGAAAGATGGCTGGAATTAGAGAAAAGAAATCGGAGTCAACGGAAAATATCAACGTTTTAATGTTTCTCACCGAGTCTCCTGCCACATCTGTGTGTGACAGCCTTTTATATTTGGCCAGGATAATTCTGTTTAGGGCATCCGTGTCTGCTGCCGTTGCTGTTGTTGTGTTTGTCTTTGTCTGTCTGTCCAGTCGAGCACATCCAAATGTTTGGGGAGGTGGTGACGGGGAAACATCAAGAGTAGGTTTAGATCTCCCAGCGCAAATAGATCTGAGTGTTTACCTTGACATATTTTCTTTGAAGTTGGTCTGCGTACAGCTCTCTTCGGATTCGAAATATTCAAAGACCGGACATCCTTTGCAGCGATATCGCAGTGCACCTTTTCTGCCAAAGAGTTTTATTGAGACATTTTTTAAAGAAACAAAAGAAGGTGAGATAACAGTGCGATTGCTGGCAAATGAGAGCATGCACCCACAGAGCTGAGTGTGCAAATCAACACAGAAGCACATGCTCTCACACATGGCCGATGAAGCACCACCAATTTGCTTTGCAGAAACAGTTCGTTTGATTGTAAATGCCAGGAAAAGTATGACAAGTTGACTGTAGGTGAACAACAATCATTGTGTGGGCTGCGAAGCCATATGCAGCAGCAAACCGTTGTAACTATATCACGTGAGCCGTGACATAAATAATAGCTCGCGCCCTGATGAGTTTGGAATTAATGGGTTTTTCAAAAATCTAGGTTTGCATGCCTCCTCCCATGCTGTGCAGAAGAGCTTGGTAAATACTTTGCTGTAATGGAGTCAAGTAGAGAGAGTAGTAGATGAG